GATTGGCCAGCGGGGAGCGGGGTTGGGGGGGAAGGACTTGGGGACTTGGGGAGGAGCAGGGGTCGGGGAACCGGCCGGCGGGGAGTGGGGCTGGCTCGGGCACACGCAGATCCCAGGGTGCTTCTCATCCCGCACACAGTCCCAGCAGGGTGCAGTCCCACAGTCCCAGCAGGGATTCCATCCCGCCCCTACCCCCCCCGCCCCCTCCCCCCTCTTCTCTACTGCGTAGTTGCGTACTGCCTGGCTGGTAGACTCACATACGCAGCGTGAGCACGTCTACTAGCCAGGCAGTACGCAACTACATACTGATACTCATAATAATAAAACTAACGTAATTAGAAAATACCGGACATTTATATGTCCAGTGTTTTCTCAATTTATTTAATGGACAGGAACGTCAAATACCAGACTGTCTGGTTCAAAACTGGACACCTGGCAACCCTACCCATCAGCCCATTGAGGGACCGGAGCCTGGCAGGAACAGGAGCTGCTCCGACCCGACTGGAGCACCCTCCTCTGGAGCACCAAACGTTTATCTAGTTAACTGACTAAACAGGATTTTCAGTCCTGAATGCAGGAATTTCTGTTGGAAGGTGATTTTTTTTGGTAAATGTGGACTGCTAGAGTGTAAATGCATCCCCCTCATGGTCCTTTAAGTAAGCATGCTCTGGCTGACCAGGGGAAGGCAGGAGCAGCATGCTGCCTGACCCTTCTCCCCCATGCTCCAGCTGGCTGGGAGAAGGCTAGGACTGATTCCCTCCCCCCCGCAGGAGCGAAGTCCAGCCCTGCCCCTGGGGGTGGGAGGAAATCAGCCCCACACTTGCCCTAGCTGGCACATTTACTTGGGGGACCATGAGGGGGAGGTTAATTGGCACCCTTTGCACACAAACCCCTGCATATGGGCCTGGAGCAGTCCCCTTACCTGTGGCATAAGCGCTCTGGCCAGGCCAAGCCAGGTCCAGCCCACCATGGGTGAGGACTGCTCGGGGTGGGCCAGTCACAGTACACTGCAAGCAGAGTGCTGCTCCGGCCAGGCCAGAACACTGCCCAGCCTGTTGAGCAGTGGGCCCAGCCAGGCTGGAGCAGCTCCCCTGCCCAGGGTGGGCAGGGGGGCTGCGCCGGCCAGGCCACTGGTTAACTGGGAAGCCTCATCCAGTAAGAGTGATGCTTACTGGTTAACCAGTTACACTCCATCTTAAAGAAGCTAAGTCACCAATTTGTGTCCTTTGCTTTTTTAGCGCATGTAAGGGGGTTTTGTTTTATATGTTTATTACCGTAAAAGTACCAAGGGAATGTCAAGTCAGGGTCTTTGCTATGTTTGCTGAACTACTTGTTGGGGTCCTCAGAGGCATATACTGATTTTCCTGGGAGCTTGCTATGCCCCATGCAATCTCTTCTTGCATGCTGTAGTTAATTAGGTGCTAGAAAAGATAACGGTGAGAAATGAGAGTTACTGATTGTGATGGCATCACCCTACTTCTCCTGCCCACCTTCCAGGCAGACTTCCAGGGCACCCTTGAATTTCTAAGCACAAGCAGGGGGAAAAAACGCCCCTTACAAAGCAGGCACCAAACACACCCGATATTCTGAAGGGCCTTTCATTCAGTCAAGTGGCCCATCTCCAAAGTGCCACAGCAGGCGCCACCCCAAGCAGCTCCACAAATGACTAGATCTCCCCTGCAGTGAGCACAATGAGGGTAGGAGGGTCACAATCACGCCTGACTCTGGCGGAGCGAGGCTGCCTATGACTCACTCCCATCCCGTCCGCAAGTGACATAGAGGCTACCGCACGCTCCCACTAAATTGACAAGCGGCTGAGGAGGGATACATGACCAGCCAACTGCCGCCCGTAGTGCCACATGGAAATGGAGACCTTTGGTGGCCTGGAGGTTGTGAGGCCTCCGCTGACTCTAGCCTGGCCCATCCGCCGGCTCGTACTCACAGCACAGCTGGTAGCGAACAGCCATTCAACCCGCCTCATGTTGAAAACGGCCTTTCCATCCTGGAGAGGCTGAGAGAGCAGAGTATGGCATGATCCCCTCCCCGGATTTGCGATGCCCCTCTCTGAAGAGGAAGCGCTGGGCAGATTCACCCTTCAGGAGTGAGACCGCGGGTAGGGTGGGGCTCACTCCTGGCAGGGAAGGAGGAATCATCCCCAGCCTTAACCTGTCCGACCAGAGCACGGGGGAGAGAGGCTGAGGCAACGCACCACCTCTGCTTTCCCCTGGCTGGCCGGAATCAGCCCCATGGTGGACCATGACGTACCGTGGGAGGATATATTCGCACCCTTCGCACTCTCCCCCATTGCATATGGGCCTGGTTTTACATCCCTAATTTGTCAACGTGGGCATTGTGTGATGGCTTCTGAAAGCCAGAACAGTCAATGTAAGCATCACAGTATCTGCGCTTAACACTGCATCGACCTAATTATTTCAATTGTGATTCTGTACAACTGGCAGAGGTGGTGTCACTAAATTGGCATAAAGGGGCACTTACATCAGCAGGAGCCAAATTTAGTGAAGACTCTGCCAGAGCTAGCTCAGTGCAAGGTAGCTTACATTAATCTAACTGTATAATGTAGACCAGGCATATGGCAACAAGTCTGTTTTCTGTGCTAGTTTCAAACACCATACTGCCATTGTGGTAGATTAATTTCCTTAGGCAATACATGTTTGCCAATGTAATATGCTGATAGTATTTCATCTTTGACAGCAAACATTAGCAAGTAAATGATCAACTAGTATTCCTAAGACATGATATTGGGATAGTCTGTTAGTACTGCATTCTGATTTTGTCCTCAAATTGGATATTAAAGCTTTTAGTGTGACATCTACTTAATTCTTTTATGCTCACCTGGAAATGAGAGCAGTTGTTTCAGTAATATGCACCAGCTCATTACTCCAGTGTTCCTATAGTTATGTTCACGTTCCATTCTTAACTGAAGGGAACACCTGTTCTTAAGAGTGGCTCATTTGTACATAGTGACTCAGGATGTGATATTTCATTGTAAGGCTTGTGACAGCAGTTCTTTACCTGACAACAGACATTTGGAAGTAACAACTTAAGAATTTTAAATACAGCACAATTTCTGATGTCAATTTTTCTGCGTTTGACAATAATTTCCAAGTAGTTAATTCTCTATTTTCCAGAGAAGAGCCTTTTGACAAAACTCTTACAATTCTATGTGATGTCTTTTGTATTCATGAAGAGTATAAAAATAAACACAGACACTGGATTTTCACATTGTTTTTATTTTCAGTAATGCAGCCTTCATAATATATTCCATTTACTACACCGGTATTGAAAAGGTATTTAGAATAGAGAATGGCACTTCATTGCTCATGTAGGTTGAGCACCGCTTGTTATTCACTTCAAGTGCAAATGGATTTTCAGGTTTAAGGGCCATCTGAACCAGAATCTTATCTTGGATGTCCCCAGAATGGGAATGTAGCTGTAGAAGTGGAGGTTGTAGCAGTGATGAATTCCCTATTAGAACAGAATGAGCAAAGTTTGTTTCAGCTAACAGATTCTGCAGAAACAATAAACACTCAGAAGCTCATTGAAAAATGGCCCCTTATGGTTTTCTGAAAAGATATGGGGGAGGGAGAGGAATTCTCCAAGGAGATTTGATGGGAGTAAAAATTGATTGATGTGGTGACAGGAAAAACTCTGTGTAAATAATTAAGCTGGGGCTGCGACACAGGAAGATGTTAATGTTTTGCCAGGAATTGCAGACCTCATTAAAGGTTATGGGTGTCCCCCCCCACCCATAGCTCTCCTTTTCTCTATCCCCCCATGCCAGGGGCTCTTTGTAGTGTATGCCCCTAGTTTCTCCTTCCTTCCCTGCACTGCAGGAGCTCTGTGCTTTCTCCTTTTTTACTCCCCCCTGAAGAAGAGGGGATGGATACTACCCTCTTTCTTTCTTCCTCTTCTATTTCTTCTCCACCTCCCCTTATCATGGAGCAGACTTTGGAGAAACAGTAACCTAGAGGGAGAAGGGAATGAAGCTTCCTTTGCTCACCCTGGATTAGAAGGGATAGGCTAATGAAAACACTATTTCCCCCTCCCATGCCACCCACAGACAAGCTTTGGGATGCAGTGCACTAAGGGAGATAGAAGCAGGAGAAGCCCTAGCCATTTTGCTAGCCATTGAGGAAAGTATCCCTTCCCCCACAACCGCAGAGCTAAAACAACATCAACAGCAAAAAGAGAGCAGAGCAAAGGAGAAAAATAAGCCAAGTGGCTCAGCAATTTGGTACCCCTGGAAGCTAACAGGATGACTGACTTGCTCACTTGCCCCTAAAACTATCCCTAGAGAAAGGATGAAAGACATTTTCATCTGCCTCTCCCTCTTGGCTGAAGGGTTTGCCCTACAGCTGTTAAGTTGGCTCTTTGCAGGGAAAGCAAAGAGCAACTTTTTAAGTG